AATTCTCTTGACGCAAGTGAAAATTTCAGCAAAAATGGAAGTTATTGAAAAATAACCAAATTGAAATTAGATAACTGAGAAACACAATAATCAAAATAAAGCCTGTGTGGTTTAACTCAATAATAGAGATTATAGAGGACAGAATCAGCTGACTTGAGGATAGATCAATGGAATTTACCCAATCTGAGTAACAGAGAAAAGAAAGATCGAGATAAAATGAACCGAGAATCTCAAAGACCAGTGGGACAATAACAAAGAGAGCATCATATCACTGGAATAGTTCTAGAAGAGGAGAAAGACAATAGAACTGAAAAAATTAAGTAAAATTTGGTGGAACACGTAAACCTATAGTTTCAAAAAGGTACATGAACTATCATAAGCAGGATAAATTCAAATTAACACCAAGACATATCAAATTAAACTTGTAAAAAGTAAAGACAGAGTCTTGAAGGCAACTAGACAGAAAGCATGCATTACTTACCAGTTTGAATGAAAGTGGACTTCTCTTCTGAAACCATAAAAGACAGCAGAAAGTAGCATAACAGTTTTCAAGTGCTTAGAGAAAAAAGAACTACCACTCACAAATTCTATATCCAGTGAAAATATCCTTCGGGAATGAAGGGGAAATAAGGACATTCTCAGCTGAAGAAAAACTGAGAATCTGTTGCTAGCAAATCTGTCCTTAGAGAATGGCTAAAGGAAGTTTTTCAAACAGAAAGGAAATGCTAACAGAAGAATGCTTGAAACTTTAGGAAAGAATGAAGAACAAAACAGGTAAAGATAGGGGTAAACATAATAGACGATCCTATTCTAATGAGTGTCTTAAATTATATTTGAAGGTTAAAGCCAAAATAACACTATCTGGTGTGGTGATCAATGAATGTAAAGGAAATTCTTGAGACTCATATTTTAAAATAGGAATGGTAAAGGAATCTAAATGGAGGTAAGTTTTCCACACTTGCCTTCAACAGGAAAAATATTGACAACAATAGAACGTGACTCTTGACATGTGTATATGGTAACACCTAGAGCAACCTCTAAGAAAACTGTACAAAGAGATGTGCCCAAAATGCTGTAAATAAATCAAGATGAAACCTTAAAAAATATTTAAATAACCCACACAATGTGAGAACAGAGGAATAAGAAACAAAGAAAATAAACAGAACACAAATAACAAAATGGCAGACAAGCCTTACAACATATGGAAAGACAAGCTACAAACTAGGAGAAAATATTTACAAACCGTGTATCTGACAAAGTACTAGTATCTAGAATATATTTTAAAACTCTCAAAACTCAATAGTTTTTTAGAAATCCCATGTCTTTTTCTTTTTTTTTTTTTT